GGCACCCAGAATTGCACGCAGTATTCCAACTGCGGTCTGACCAGCGCCCGATAGAGGGGAAGTATCACCTCCTTGGACCTGTTCGTCATGCATCTGCTGATGCACGATAAAGTGCCATTAGCTTTTCTGATGGCTTCGTCACACTGCCGACTCATGTTCATCTTGGAGTCCACTAGGACTCCAAAATCCCTTTCCGCTTCCGTTCCACCAAGCAGGTCATTTCCTAGGCAGATGAAAGCTCCTCCAGCAATAAGGTTTTCTCACTGTAGCATTTGGGAAATTAAAATCCTGTTCAGAAGGTGACTTAAAAAAAGATGGCCTGTCAGGAGTTGAAAAGACCATTAGTCATTTAATTGGTAAGATGTAAAACAAGAGGAAATAGAGACTATTAAAAAGAAAAAGGTGTTAAGAAAATGACATTATATAGAAGGATAAACAAGAGATGTCCAATCTCTTGTTACATTCAAAATAGGCTAGGATTATGGTAAGCAACAAAATTGAGCAAAAAGACATGAATTGAAAATGAAGATGAAATAAACAAAGAAAATGTCAGTTTGGTATTAAAAAACTAAGAAGAAGAAACTCTAATCTGCTCTGTTGTTCAACGTAATAAAGTAATAGGAGTGGAGGAGTGGAAGCAACCCTCATAAGGACATTTGGTTTCTAAAAGTATATTGCTTTTAATCCAGTAGTTTCATGTAAATATGGATTCCTATAGCTTTCAGAGGTATTGAATTAAATTTACTAAGGGAAAATAAGATTGCATGTCAAAGAGAAAGGTAAAATACTATATAAATATAAACACACATAGTACAATACTAAACAAAGAGTTCAAAATAAAACTTATGTTTTTAATCAAGAGACTAGCTTATCAATTTGATCCAGAACACTACTTGCAATTTAACATGAGATTTAAGCAGCAAATAGCTTGAAATGTTTCTTGATACAGTCTGCCCTGAAGGAATTTCTGATGCATCTAAAAAATAAATAGTGACGATTGAAACGGAAGCCCATTATGTAACATTTCCAAGAATAATAGCATCATAAATGCTCAGATACATATATTAACTTTTCTGAAACAGGCATACTTTTTAATGGCATGGTTGGCATGATACCTGGCTTTTCTGGTTAATTATTGAATAGACACACCCTGTTTCTTAAGCCTACAGTGTTCCAGTAGATAAACTGAAATGTCTTTTATATAGCCTTCAAATGTTCTACAAGGTTTGCCAAGATCTAAAATATTTAGCATTAGTGTAATCGTTCAAGTGTACTGTTATCTAATATATAAAACAGCTTGCTTTTCAGGGCAAAACCTGTTGAAACAGTATGAAACCAGTTTCTTGTAGTTGCAGTAGTATTAAGTGCAGTTTGTTCATTTAAAATGACAAAGACAGAATGATCTGGATTCTGATCTCACTTGCATGCTACATATTTCAGTTACTCCTGATTGTCATCTGAATGACACTCAGACCAGGTCCTTGGTGTCTGACTTACCAGTGTGACAGAAATACTGATTATTGTAATAATGCGCTCAACAGTGAGCCAACACTGGGGGAAGAAAAGAGTGCTATTACTTTTTGACACGTCTGAATTTACATGATGGAAAATCCGTTTTTTAATTCATGGCTAAGGATAATTGATATTGCAGGGGAACCAATGGTAATGGGACTGGAAGTCACCACAACTCTGTGTATTAAATTAAACAAGCTCCTGTGTTTATAAAGGGAGAAAAATATACCCCATATGCCTCATTTCCACACTCTTTGTGAGAATAGCTAACAGGATGATTATCTCAGGTCATGAACAAATGATCGAATTAAAATAAGTCAGTAGGGAGTGAAGACTTGCAGTCAATAGGTACAGTCATTGAAAAAGCCCAAGGTGGAATTGATCTAAGTTATGTGGTTTTCGGTAAGCAGCTTGGCAGCAAACAGAACACACAGTCGCCCTTGGGGGGGGCGCAAATCTTAGACCAGGCTTTGCCGTTTTTAAACCAGTCTGTGTGCGCCGAACTTCTGTTCTCTTACGGGTGTAGACTGGTTTCTGATCATGAATACTGGTAAAAGTGTAATGTCTATACCAGGCCAATATTTGGTAACTGTTCACATGCGTACAGATATCCTAGGCAAAATGAAAGCTGAAGTGTGGCAGCTTGTAGGATGAGCATATTCTAGCAACATGGTCATTGCAAATATGAACATTTGAGATTTCTAAATTGTAAAAAGCAAGCTTTGCAGAGTTGAAGGTTGGTTGAATGGTTGGAACAAAGTGTGTTGCTTGCTACAGAGATTTTCATTCAGTTTGTCTCCATTTGCAGCTGAAGTAAGATAATGGAAAAGTCTGTGCCAGGGAACACTTTTTTTTTTTTTCTTCACACTACTCAGAGTTTGGGAGGAATGTTCACAGAGCAGACACTCCTTCCTGGAATCCCTCCTGCATTTGCAGGATGTATTATGAGTTTGGAGTAAATCAATATACAATTCCCTTAACCGTTCTTTGTTCTGCACCCCCAAATTTCACCAGTCCAAAATGCTAACTGCTGGAGGATTTAGGCTTACATTGTGTTATGAGTGGAAACTAAATGTTTTCTTATCTGTTTCCTTGTGTGCATGTAAAAAATTAAATTATATGAAAAAACTTAGTTTTGTAAATCTAGTAAGGACATTTACAGAATTCTTTATGGAAAACATTAAATATTTTCTTGTCTTCTTTGCCAGCTTTTATGTGGGCTAATTTGAAGTGTGTTTAGGGGAAAGGGGCATCTTAAAGGATTTTAAATGCTTAGTGAATGCTTGATATCATGAATTCATAGAAAGGAAAAAATAGGCAGGCTAGTGTCTTGTTTCCCTCTTCTCGTATACCACCCTCACCAGCTCATATTAAGAAATCATAAAGATTGGTGATCCTCAAGTCTCCAGCCAGGCCTACACAGCAAATTCACTAGGTGAGAAAGCAATGCCCTCAAGCTGTGTTGCTCCAGACAGCCTGCCTCCTAAACTGGAAGCAGTTTAGCTGTGTTCCTGTAGCATGTTGGTAGACTAATTAGCACAACTGAATTACAGGGTCAATTAGCTTATCCCTAAGCTGATTGGCCTGCCAGTGGTGCCCATGGCTGTGGCTACCTTGCTTCTGGGTTACAGGACAGCCCATCTGGAGTAGTGCCACCTGTCTGGCATAATCTTTAGCTGTCCGGAGCAAATAAGGCATCTAATTTAGAGGTCTATTAGAAAAGAGGCCTGAAACCAGTTCACATATACATTTTAAAATCAACTGGAATTTGATCATTCCGCTAATAGTCATTACTAGGAATAGACTAGCCAAAATTGCTAATATCTGTAACACAGCACAAGATTCTAGCCTTTGTAGAATTCTATTTTCCATTCTTGCCCCCAGTTTTGTGATTTTTGTTTTGCCTATACAGCAGTCTAGTTGGAGACAGCAGAGATTTACTAATACTTTTGAATACTGAGCTAATCGCTGAACGTAGTTGATATTATCTGTAAACAGGTCATTCTTTTTCATTGGTTGGAAGTTTTAGGGCACCGTTAATAAAAGTATACACGTATAAATCAACTTGTAAATTATATATTACATGTTTATTACGGGTGCAACATTTCTGTAAAATTTACATTTGATGAAAATCAAAAGTATTTACAATTTTGGTAAGATAAATTGTATTATTCTAATTTACAATCTGAAGTAGTAACGATCCATAAAAACTGATCTCCTTTAGAGTTGTGTTTAAAAATTCATTTTTTCCATAGGAGGCAGCTACAAAGGATATCACTGTATACACAAGCAAGAACCAGCTTGCTACATATATTTCTCATCAGATATCTAAATGATTTTTTTAACACTTTTTTATGGGTTTCTTTACAAAAGTCCATATAAACTTGTATGGCTTCAAAATTGTAACCTGCACCCATTACAAATGTATGTTTGATCACCTGGTATGAAAGCTAGTTTAAATGTGCTGAAATTCAACTACTTCATTAATTTAGAAATTTAAGCAATACTTGATTAAAAACAGAGTAAAATAGTTTTGGATTGCAATAATAAAATAGTAACTGTCAGGTTAAACACACTGTTTGATTGCAAAGCAGATTACAATTAAGATTCCAGTAAAAGGCCGTGTATCATTTTAAATGCCAATTACAACACGAGTTAGAAATACTAGTTATTGTCATAATTCAGTGAAGATTAACATTTTAGCAAATTAAGAGCCATAAGCACTGCTCCAGTCAAATCTAATCAGATTGTTACAAGTACATATAAAACACATACTGTACTGTACACTGCTTAATAAAGGAAATCTTGTCTCTAAAACTATGCAGTGCGCATTAGAATTTATATGCGTCTGAGTCATTCATTCGCTGAAAAGCTTAATAGTCCAGTCATTAGTGGTTTTACATGAATTATTTCACACACAACTTACTATTGCTTCCAATGTATATTATGAATAGACCCTGGTATTTAGAATCATTATAAAATTCCCATCCTGCTTATTATTAAAGTATTCTGCCCCAAAATATTTTTATTTCTGTATTTAACAAGGACATGTCTAACAAACAGCAGAATATAGAACAGTTTTTTAATTAATAACTTGCTTTAAGAAATGTTACAAATGTGTTGCTTCAGATCATTTCCATATGTTTAGGATGTAGCAAAACAAGGAAAAGGAAATACTACCAACTGATATTTTAAAATCTGTTTTAAAATTAGTAATATGCTGGTTGTACACTGTCTTCCTGCTGCCAAAAAATATACCTTTCTAAAATGCTATTCCTCATAAAGTACTACATTACATTCATGTCACACGAATCAAAAAGCACTTGAAATCTCCAAAGACTTAGCAGTCAGAATGAAGTGAAATGCTACATTTATTTAAAAAATATTCTGTTTTAATCATTCTTCAATGTACCTTCAGAATTCACACATCTTTGGTGATATTAAAAGTTGAAACTTTGATACTGAAGTTCTCTATCAATATATCAAAGTCCTGCACTATGCATTTCCCTTTACACTGGCTGCATTTATTGCAATTACCCCATGAGGAAGTAATCCAGTATTTGAAACCATCTTATAAAGCAATCTCCAGTTTTTCTAAATTTCCCTTCTAAATCCCAGTCGAGGAATTTTATAAAGTTGTATGCATTACACAAATACCACAAGTTTTCAGTAGGGAAGAGCCAGACTTTGAAAAAGGAAGTGAGGCACATTAAAGAACAAATCGGACAGGCACAGTTTAAAAAAAGGCACAAATGTTATGCAATCCATACAAAAATAAATTAATCTACAGCATTAATTCAAACAATCACAACTCCCATAAAGTTTGCTAATTGCAGAAGTAAATATCTCTTCTGTCTTTTGCAATTTTTAACACATTGCACTTAGAAAAAAGTAAGTCTTATATAAAAACAACTTATACTTTATTAAAATATGGTACACGGGAATCAAAGTATATGTTTTATTTACGTCTCTAACGCTTAACTGATTTTATGGCACATGAATTGGTATGAGTGGGTGGACAGAATTATCTGAAATGTTACCTTTGTTTAATTTGAACATTGGCAATTAAGAAATGAATAATATTATGGAAAGCTAAAATATTCTGTGCTTGCTCTCCTACATTTTTAGGTGTAATGTTTATAATAACATACAATTTCATACATTTTCAATACATCTAATGATTACTATATTTTGACTTAGTCTATATAAATTTACTTAAATTTGAATAAACAAGTTTCCCAAATATTGCAGTTGATCATTTACAGACAGTGTTGAAGTTAACTTCAGTGCTATTATAAATACATTTTTTTCCAAATTGACTTCTTCAAAAAAAGTGCATTTTTTTTACTTTTGTAGTCAGCCCCAAAGTAGGTCAATGTTTAAAAAAAATAATGCATGTTAAAATAGTGTTTCAAAGGTAGAGAGAGGAGTAAGCTTCAGCTGCTCTTTTGATTTACTGATTTTTCACAGATTCATCAGCAATCAGCCATATACCGTCCTGAAAAAAATAAACAAATTTCTGCAGTTACAATGTTCAGAGTAACTATTTTACAGTAAAACAAGAACTCAAAATAGCAGATAAAAGAAAGTTTGTCAATGTTTTTCTGCAAACAGGGTTTTTGTTCAGCTGTTCTGTACAAAGTACATCCCAGAAATATTCCAAGCTTTTTTTCCAGATAAGTAGAAGACACTATATAAAAATAAGCGAGAGTAATTTAGTAAATTCATGTTAGTTCAAATACATAAACATCTCAGTTTCTTACTTACCAGTGGCAAATCTCTTCTTAAGTAGGGAAAGCCGATAGCCAGTGCCTGCTAGCTCTACGTCTACTCCTGAAAGGGTGCTTCCTTCACTAATGAATTGCACTGCAAGAGTTGCTGGTTTACTGGGTCCTTCTGATAGATCAAATTTTGCCCTGAGGGATCCAGAACCTAAAAATACAACTAAATGTCTTGGTATTGTAAAACAGAACATCCTGTCCCATAGAGGCCAAACAGTAAACAGTGAAGTAATATAGTGCTCTCTAATAGCTGGGACTGTGATATAAAATAAAATATGAAATAAAAAAAAAAAATATATATGCATTTTCATAACAGATAACATTACTGGTCTGTTCCTGCAGTGTTCTGCTTAGGACAGTGACCATTGCTTAATAATGCTTTAGGGAAAGCATCATGCACTCAGTGTTACAAGGCTGTATACGAGGAACACTTTCTTCCTGACATTCACACAATCTGTAGTTTTATTCCATGAAACGTGATATTTGATTTCCATTACAATCAATGTTTCAGCTTCTAACACTACCCCAACCTAGGTCTTATCACCACTAATATTATTTATCTGTTGTTATGACCTGGATGAGTCTACACTAGTAAAATTTATGAGCCTTTCTGTTCCAGGACAGCTCTGTCAAAGAAGGCTGTAACAAAAGGGAAGTTGTACCACTGTAGAAAATGCCTATATATTTTGTTCATCTAGACAAGGCACGTGGAAATTAATTCTCTACATCTTTAATCGTGGTATAATGAATGTATTCCATTTATTGATTCTAAATAAGTGTTCTCCTGTTCCCATATTATAAGAGGGGAGGGAATTTTGGGAGTAAGAGGTAAAATTATTTCCATTATTCTTTTTATGATTCAATAACATTTCCTTTTTGCAAGGTAATTAATCCTAGCGTATACATGTTTGGGACCTCAACACCTCAAAATGTTGTTGAGCTTGATGCAGGATTTACTAGGTGAAATACTTTGTTCTGCAACAGATCATTCTAAATAATCTCAATTAATTTAAAATCAGTTCCCATTTCTGTTGCAGACTGGGCAAATCACAACTTCCTTGCACCTTAGTTTCCCTGTGTAAAGTGGGGATAATGGTACTGTGATGGGCAAGTACTTGCCTTTAAGAATTGCTTTGAAGTCTACTGATGGGGGAAAAAAACTACACTGTTTTTCATTGTATATTTGCTTCTTGGCTGATACAAACTTCCACACAGCCACAGCCCTGCAGCTGACTGTCAACATGGGTGTTTGATCATAAAGAGGTGCAAGAAATTCTCCCACTGAACTGAGAGTAAAGGACAAGTCTTCAAATACCTGAAGGGTGATTACAGAGAGGATGGAGATGGGCTGTTTTCTCTGTGGTTGTATGGGACAGGACTAGGAGCAATGGCCTCAAGCTGCAGCAGAAGAAATTTAAGGTGGAGATTAGGAGGAACTTTCTAACTATGAGGATGGTCAAGCACTGGAACAGGCTATTTAGAGAAACAGTGGAATCTCCATCCTTGGAAACATGCACGATCAGGTTAGACAGATGCTAGTCAGACACACTCATGCCTTGATGGGGACTCAACTAAATGACCTTGTCAGGTACCTTTTAGCCCTACTTTCCTATGATCCAGATAATTTTATGCCGGCATTAGTACACACAGTGGGCTTCAGTCAAGTTACAGGCAGTCCTCAACTTACAACTTTGAGTTGTGATGAATGTCACTTACGACGTTTATAAACTGACATTTCATTTCGAAGTTCCGATGTGGGCTTCGTCTTTACGACGGTCGATACAGCATGCAGCTGGTAAGTGGCAGAGGGGGAGGGGGAAGGGGGCAGATCAATGTCTCCTGTGGTGAGGGAGGGACTGGGACCAGGACTGGGGCAAGCGCTGCTCAGCCGGGGCTGGGCAGGCACGGGGGGCGGGGAGGGACAGCAGCTCCTGCCATTGTGCGCTGCTCATCTGGTGGCTTTACCGGTATTTCCTGCCCCTGCTCCTGCCACTGGTCCTGAAGGACATGGTGGGGGATGTGTGGCCCTGCATCTGCGCAGGGTGGGGCAGGGCTGGGACTACACCGGGCTGTGCTCTGGCTGGGCGGGGGGTGGCTACGGTGAATTTTCAGGTGGCTGCAGCACCTCCATAGCCCCTGCTCTGCTGTCCACCCTGATCCGGAGGCACACACCCTCCATGCCTTCCTGTCACTCACCCAGCCAGGGTGGGATGGGCACTGGGCAGAGCCACTGTGCTGCCTCTGGACAAGTGTTACCCAGTAGCAGGAGATGTCCCCACTCCTCATGCCCCCTGGATGAACTGCAGTTTTGAAGGCATAGGGGGCATGTGCCCCTGGATTGGGGTGGGGGGCAAAGCGGGGGCTACAGGAGGGCTTCAGCCACCTGAAAATTTGCCATAACCACCGCTGCCCACCTGGAGCAGCCCCACCACCACCCTGTGCAGATCCGGGGGCACACGCCTCCCATGCCCCCCTGGAACTGCCAGTCGAGCAGTGCACAGCGGCAGGAGCTGACCCCCCTCCCTGTGCCTGCCTAGCTTCAGTCCCTCCCTCTCTACGGGGGGTGTTGATCTACCCCGCCACATCCCTTCCCATCCCCCTCCCCTTCCACTTCCACTTACCAGCTGCACACAGTATTGACTGTTGTAAAGGAACCAATCCCTCATCTGTAACACTGTTCCTATGGGAAAACTGGTTCCCAATTAACGACAGTTTGACTTAAGACGCGGTTTTTCAGGACCCATTTGCGTCATAAGTCTGAGGACTGCCTGTACTTGCATATCTTAGTTTTTATATTGTGGGTCAGTTTAGTTTTCCAGTCACCAAGAAAATGAAGACTGTGAATAATTTCATTCCTTTTGTATTATTAAATGCTGACATGCTTTATAAGACCTAAAATGCAGTGGCTCTATCCTGAGCAGTTTATGATCACAGACAGACATGTGTTCAGATGCACATATACACTTCTTGATGCTCTGGGATTCTTAGGTAGCATGGAAAATGACATAGGCAGAGGTGAGGAAGAAGCAAAATAGAAGAGACAATGTTTAAATATTTTTTCTATAAGAATTACCAACACAATTCTCACACTTGCCTCCATTTTCTGATTTTTCTGAGATACTAGATATTTTCCAGTAAGCTTTCATCTGCTCTGCATTCCTGTAAGAGAAATCCATGTTACTTACCAATAACAGTTTTTGAGGTATGTCCCAAGTGGAGGATGCATATAGAATAGTAGACTAGTATCTAGACACAGGTTGTAAAAAGGCAAATGCTTTTTCTCCTGCCCTAAATTCAATTGTCATAGATTTAATAGATTTCTAGGGTTGGAAGGGACCTATTAGATCAAGTCCAATCCCCTGCTCTAGGCAGGAAA